TCAATCATCAACTAATTAAAAAAATGATTTTTTAAATATTGGTATGAATTATACATTTTATTCATCAAATATACTAACAATTGTTATTATATTTAATTCAAATTTTGATAAAGAAGAAAAAACACAGCAATTAATTGATCGTTTTAAAAAGTATTATTCAAATAAACAATGGTCAAAGATTTATTGGTTGTCATCGCCAATATTTACTACAATGAAAGATTTAAATAAATCTAAGAGAAAACGTTATGCTGAACGATTAAAAAAACAATTTTCTCAAATATTTGAGGAAATTGAACAAAAATTAAAAGAAAAATATTTAAAATTTCGTTCATGTTTTTCAATACAAGAACTTTATTTAGATCTCATAAATCAAAAACCTAATGGTAAACATACAAAAATAAAATGTAAACCTATTAAATTTAATATTGAAAATAAATTGGAAGAATTATTTGAATCAATAACAGATGTAACAGAAAATTTAAAAATAATAACACCAACAAGTTATTATCGTTCTGAAATTGATACAATAAAAAAAAGAAAATTACTAGATATCATGAATGATTCAAAAACAATAGAGAAATTAGATCAACGTTTAAAAGAATTAGAATTAGAAAAAAAAAAAAAAAGTGGTTTAACGAAATATTCATCATTTATGATTGATTTATTAAATAATTATACTTATATTGATTTTTTAATAGCAGATCTTTATTTAGAAAAATGGCGATTAAAATATGTACCTAGAATTAAAGAAGAAAAAGAGAAAATTAAATTAGAAAAAACTTTACATGAAAAAAAATTAATTGAAAATGAAAATAAATCAATATCTGCTAGTCATCAAATAATTGATCAAAAAGTTTTCAATGAATTAAAAATATTACGTGAACAAGATGAAAAATTAAAGGAACAATTATTAGAAATCGATAAAAAATCAGCTAATGTTGATTTAACAATTGGTTTATTATGTAATGAATTATTTGCATTATATGATTATTTTCATGATGAGCAACCATTAATGTTAGATAAATATCATGAAGAATTTGTTAAAATAGCGAAAGTTATTGCGAAATTGATATATAAAGGTTTTTCTATACACATATTAAGATCCAGACCATTAATTTGTCAATCACATTTATTGAGAATGTCATTAGAAAATTTACATATTAACGAGAATAATCAATTAGTTATTTTAACTGTTGTTGGTGAACAATCATCTGCCAAATCATCATTGTTAAATTCAACATTTGGTTGTAATTTTCGTGTTAGTGCTGGACGTTGTACCATAGGAATGCATTTAGGTATCTTTCTTTTAAACTATAAGAATTCATTATAGGTAGTACAAAAAAAAGTATTTTGCGTGTGGGAGGGAGGACTTATTTAAAATTTTCTATATAAAGATGTGTGTTGATGTAATTACTTGTAATGATTATGAGAAATTAGCTAAAAAAATACGGATCTAGCAACAATCACTGTCACTTCCAGATCTGATTAGTTTCAATCACTTTTTTGAAGAATGGATAGAAACAAAATCTTGCCTTTTACCGAAACTGAAATTATGTTTTGTTTTTGTCAGGATCGGAACTTATAACTTTTTAAATTGGTCTTAGTGCATTTTTTTTATCAAAAGCTAAACTATAAATTTTGATACTTATTATTTTCGTCTAACTAATGCTCTTCAAATTGGTTATTTTTATTTAGAATTTCGGTCAAGGGGGTGTTGGTGTGACTATAGAAGAAGACAATACTCACACACCCACATCCACATCCACACCCATACTCGTATCCAGTCGGATTTGATATCGGAATCTGGATCACTGGATTGTCGCTTACTTCCGATAGAATTCTATCGGTTTGAAGACAATCTGACAGGATCCTATGACTTAGCTTCATCCTGGGTGGTCCCGGTCGAGAGAGAATTTTTTCGAAAATTATTCGAATTAAATCTAAAAATATTGTCAAAAACTCGTTTTCTTTTATTGATTTAGTTGACGAGTGCTAGGTTTTTGGTCATATCTTTCAAGTTATGCTTTGAGTCATGTGATTTATATCATATTTCACTAGACGGCATGAACAATATAACTATAATTTATAGTTCTGGTACCAATAAAATTTCAATTTTTGGTTTTGGTTCTGGTCTCAGTCGCCGGAATCGAGACTAGACATCGGCGTGACCAACATTTTTTGGTCACGGTATCTACGCTAGTCTCTATACGAACGACTATTTTCTTTTTTCTCAAAATAGCATACCTTTCTCTTCCGATACGAGGTCCCTATATTAGAAGGCTTTCCATAATAGAAGACCCCCTTGGAGAAATACGTGCGACACTTAGTATAAGATCTTATTCAATT